ACGCGTGGGCCAAGGCCGGCGCGCACCATGAAGTCCTGGCTGATGTAGTTGCGAGATGCTCCACAATCAATCAAAGCGCTGCAGGTCGCTTCTCCGATCTGAATGCGTACATGTAGCAATGGTGCGTCGATGTCGTCGTACCGTTGCGTCTTGAACTCACGGTCGATCTTCGCAATGTAGGCGTGAAGGTCGACAACCTCTACTCCGGCGTCCATCAACGGAGTCGGTATTGCAGTGTGCAAGTAATCCCGCAATTGTGCTTTGAGCACATTGCAATGCGGTTTCGGCAATCGACCGGTCGGGGGAACGGGCATCCACTGGAAGTCCGTGAATGTCAACGGGTCGAGTTCTTCAAGTCTTGACCATGATGTCGAATCCCTGGCAATAGGTTGCGGCGAAGCTGCCGAATCGGTTGCCGATGGTGATGAAACCGTGCATGCGGTAGATTGTTGCACGTGGAGCGGTTGGTCCAACGGTGGGACCAAGTGGACAGTCCTCGTAAGAATACCGAGAACTTACGACATTCACATCCTCCCCAGATGTGTAGGAGGCTGCTAGCAAGGTGGCCGAATCTGGTGGAGTGGGAGGTGTAGTCGCCTCACCTCCAACGGGGGGAGGCCTTTTTCGCCCAGTCGTAACATCTCCGGACCCCGTGAACACTTTGTTTCGAACTCAGGCCCAAGTGAGGCCGGCGGAAGGGGTTATTTGGCGACTGATCTCAGCACCCGACCTGCAAAGACCGGCGGCTGCGATCAGCCGCAAGAAAGCCGCAAGAAACGACCTCGTTTCCCCCCATGCTGGCCTACCGCTCCGCGTTCGAATTCGAACATGGTATCCTCCATTGCGAAGCTGCCGTCACGAAGCCCGCCCGTCGTAGCTTCCGTCTCCAAGCCCGCCGTCGCCGCTGCTCCTCCTCGTCGAGTTGCCATCGTCGCTCCTAGTAGAGCTGCTCCGTCAAGAACGAATCCACGTCGTCGCTGCCCGCGAAGCAGCTAGCGCCATTGGGGTGAATCCGACTTCACCTGCTTCCTCTTCTTCTTCTTCTTCCCCTCCTTTCGTCTTCTTCTTCTCCTCTCCTCCTCCTCCTTTCCTCCTCTTCTTCTTCTCCTCCCCCTCTTCCTCCTCCTTTCATCTTCTTCTCTTCTTCTCCTCCTCATCCTCCTTCGTTATCGTTTTTTTTTGTTTTTTTTTTGGTCATCGCCATCGAAATCCGGCAGGTCCTCCTCCCCCTCCTCTCCCCTTCTTTCTCTTCTTTCCTCCTTTCGTCTTGTCCTTCTCTCCTCCTCCTCCTCCTCTCCTCTTTTTCTTCTCTCCTCCTCCTCCGCTTTCGTGTTCTCCTTCTCTCCTCCTTCTCCACGTCCTCCATCGTCTTTTTTTTTCTTCATCGCCATACACTGCCGGCAGGTCCTCCTCCTCCTGTGTCTTCTTCTCCTCCTCCTCCTCTTCTTCCTCTCGTCTTCTCCTCCTCCTCCTCCTCCGTTCGTCTTCTTCTCTCCTTCAGCCCCTCCTGTCGTATTCTTCTCTCCTCCTCTTCCTCCTCCTCCTTTAGTCTCCTTCTCTCCTCCTCCTCCTCCTTCTCCTTTCGTCTTCTTCTCTCCTCCTTTCTCCTCCTCCTCCCGATTTCATGTGTTTCCTTTAGTACGCGAAGTGCCATGCGGCAATAGGAAGCTGACATCTGCCACGTGCCGGCATAGGCAAGCTGCAGTGAAATCCTGCCGCCAGTTGACGCACTGACGGGCGGGCTTCCTCTCTCTCTCTCTCTCTCTCTCTCTCTCTCTCTCTCTCTCTCTCTCTCTCTCTCTCCTCCTCCNTTTTTTTTTTGTCATCGCCATCGACATCCAGCAGGTCCTAACCTCCTCCTGCCCTCTTCTTTTTCTTCTCTCCTCCTCCTCCTTTCGTCTTGTCCTTCTCTCCTCCTCCTCCTCTTCCTCTGATCTTCTTGTTCTCTCCCCCTCCTCCGCTTTCGTGTTCTCCTCTTCCTCCTCCGCCTCCTCCTCTGCCTCCTCCTCCTCCTCTATTCGTCGTCTTCTCTCCTCCAGCTCCTCCTTTCGTCTTCTCCTCCTCCTCCTCCTCCTCCTCCTCCTCCTTCTCCTCCTCCTTTCGTCTCCTTCTCTCCTCCTCCTTTCATCTTCTTCTCTACTCCTCCTTTCTCCTCCTCCTCCTCCTACCTATTTCATGTGTTTCTTCTAGTACGCAAAGTGCCACGTGGTGTTGGCAACACGACGCTCACAGCTGGCACGTGTCGGGATAGGCGAGCTGCACGGCCAGTTGACGTGCTGACGGGCGGGATTCCTCTCTCTCTCTCTCTCTCCTTCTTCTTCTTCTCTCCTCCTCCTCCTCCTCCTTTGTCATCCTTTTTCTTTCCTTCTTCTTTTTGTCATCACCATTCGAATCTGGCAGGTCCTCCTCCTCCTCCTCCTCCTCCTCCCCCCGTCTTCTTCTTCTCTCCTTCTCCTCCTCCACTTTCGTGTTCTCCTCCTCCTCCTCCTCCTCCTCCTCTTTCGTGTTCTCCTTCTCCTCCTCCTCCTCCTCCTCTCATCTACTTTTTCTTCTCTACTCCTCTTGTCTTCTTCTTCTCTCCTCCTCCTCCACCTACTTTCGTCTTCTCCTTCTATCCTCCTCCTCTCGTCTTCTTTTTCTTCTCTCCTCCTCCTCCTTTCGTCTTGTCCTCCTTTTTTTTTTCTCCTCCTCCCCCTCCTCTTCCTTTCGTCTTGTCCTTCTCTCCTCTGCCTGCCCCTTAGTTCTTCTCTCCTGCTCTTTTCATCATCTTCTTCTTCCTCCTTTCTTGATCTTCCTCTTCTTCCTTCTCCTTGTTCTTCTCTACTCCTCCTCCTTTCGTCTGTTTCGTTTTTCAAGTCTCCATCTTTTTTCTCCTCCTCCTCTCCTCTTCTTCTCCCTCCTCTTCTTCTCCCTCCTCTTTTCGTCTTCTTCTTCCCTCCTCCTCCTCCTCCTTTCTTCTTCTTCTTCCCTCGTCTTTTTCCTCCATATCTTACCGCTCACCATCTCATCCGCCAGCCATGTTGTACCGCCTTCCATATCCTACTGCCCGCTGTTGCCCGTTCGTTTTTTTTTCCCTGCCCCTCAAAAAGGACGTAAGCGGGCAGACAGCAGCCCCATTCACAACCGCACAGACTTCTTCTTCTTCTTCTTCTTCTTCTTCTTCTTCTTCTGCTTCTGCTTCTGCTTCTGCTTCTGCCTCTTCTTCTTTCTTCTTCTTTCTTCTGCTTCTTCTGCTTCTTCTGCTTCTCCTCCTCCTCCTCCTAATTCTTCTTCTCTTCTCCTTCCGATATTTGTACTTTCTTTTTCCCCTCACTGTTGGTCCTTGCATCCTCGGTGGCAGCGGTGTTGGCGGGGGGAGTGGCAGGTCTGGAAGGAGGAGAGGCAAAACGGCAGCAGACAAAGGAAAAGGAAGTTGCAAACACAGATGTCTTTCACAAGTTTCTCTGTGGATTCGGGCTCCTCTCAGCGAGCGCACTCCAACCCCATTTTCAAAAAAACAAAAAAAAACATTCCTGGGACGTTTTTTGGCTCGTCTGGTTTTGCCGGACGGACCCCCCCCCCGTCCGTCTGGACCGGGCGTCGGCGTAACCCAGGGTCTTAGTTATTGTTGATAAATTTTCCAAATTTGCCCGTTTTACACCTCTAGCAGCTACTGATAAGACTGAGTTGGTAACGAGTGAATTCACTAAGAACTGGATCAAAGATTTTGGATTACTGAAAAGCATTGTATGTCACAGAGATGTCCGCTTTACTAATGAACAGAAGAACCTGGCATAGAAACTAGGTTCCGAACTCAAGGCGACTTCAGGTAACAATCCTGAAGCTAAGAGAGAGACCGAGCAAATGAATAGATTAGTGGAGCTATGTTCTGTGCTGTTTATCTTCTCCTGACGAGCTTGATTGGGATATCGAACTGCCTCAGGGCTGTATAATGCTATATACTCAGCCACCCGGCAACCGCCTAATGAACTGCATTTTGGATGGAAACCAAGAGCACCACTGGACTTTTTATTTCCCTATCCCAAATTGCAGTTATTCCCCGGAACAATATAATATACCTTGAATTATGAAAAGAAGGTGGGACAGACTGTAGAACACGAACAGAATACTGAGAGGGCAGTGACAGAATAAGAAAATCAGCACAGACGGGTGTCCATATTCCAGGTCAGTGATGGAGCTTTAGTCAGGGCATTTGAGTTCATGCCAGAGCAGGTCGGACCCTGGCCTGGGTGAGTTTCAGAAGGAGATGGGTAAAGAAAATGTGGTCGTCCTTAAGTGAAGGCCATGGCAGGAAGAAAATCAACCAGCCCTGAGTGAAGGCTGGGGTGATATAGTTGGAAGGGGAGGCCGGACCCCAGCCTCTCCAACTACCAGTAGGCCCAGCCTCTGAGTTAGTTGTGGAGGCTGCAACTCAGGCTCAGACCCAGTCAGTCCTCAGAAACTCACGTGAGGCCTCCAGTAAGTGCCGAAAAGGGGCAGGCTGCTGTATTCCACACAGCCGGAAGCTGCCAGCACCTCTGCACGAGCGCAGAACAGCCAGTCCAGCATATGGAGGCCGGTGAGTGTCAGTATCAAGAGAAGTTGGGCTTTCTTTATCAAGAGACGTCAGTGTCAGTATGTTCTCATTCGGTGTGCTCTCTGTTTTTTAATTCTGCTTTCGACTTTGCTCATATATGCTTGTCCTGCTTCGAGTCTTTTGCAGCTCTGAAAATTCGATTCCCCATTGATTGGTCACTTGCACCTTAATTAAAAAAAAAGAAGCTTCTTTGAAAATAAGAAAAAAGAAATTAGTGTGTTTGTTTGTGTGCTGTCTATTGCCTTCCTACTGGACTTCTTGGGTAGACACACTTATTTGACTACGGGGCGGTTCTGCGGATGAATATTCAAGGCTGCAAATGATCTTTTTTATAGGCATTTTTTTTTTGAAAAATCAATCTGTGCCTCCTTTCTGTGTTTGTCTGAGAAGCTGCCTTCGTTGTTTTCCGGAAATGGGTAAACAGACTCATCAAGAACTTCGTCATTTCAACGAGCAACATCGTCACCATCAGCATCGACATCTGGCTCTGTACCGCGTGGAGCAGCATCGTCAAGCCATGCAGCTGCCAGAGGAATGGCACCTGCACAAGTTTTCGATTCAAAAGCTATCCTTTTCTTGGCAAATGCGTGGGTAAGTCCAGGCACTCAAGGGTTGTTCCTGCAAGTGTGATGAGAATGGCAGTAGCACAGGGCCAAACAAATGCCTTTGTTGCCCAACTCTGATTGCAATGGTATGTTTGAGACATTGGATTTCCGCACAGCTGATTGTGGTGTGCGTTTGTGGTAGCAGCGAGGTGTCCTTTTGTTGGTTTTGCGTTCTCTTTTATGCTACGGGCCTCACTGCACTTCTCTTGAAATACGGACAGATACACTGTCCGTATTCTGTACTCTCGACATCCACAAAAAACAAAAATCATGGCCGTGTATCTGTCCGTATTTCAAGAGAAGTGCAGTGAGGCCCGCAGCGTAAAAGAGAACGCAAAAACGAAACGAAACCGGACTCCCGAGAAAAAAGCAAACGCCAAACGCGTCAGACGCGTTAGGCGCGCCGCGTCAGGCGCGTTTTGTGTTTGTTTTTCTCTCGGGCGAGTTCTGTTTGCTTTGGGAAAATAGGGGCATTGCCACACCACTCTTGAAAATCTGCAAAATGAGAATGAAAGTCCCGCTACAACATGGCCAGATGC